GCCTCCTGTCAACCTCAAAGCACACTCGACCAGGGGTATCGCATCTTTGACTGCCTTGCATAATGGTATGTCAATGCAGGACATTTGCACTGCGGCTGCATGGTCAACACCCTGCTCATTTATTCGCTTTTACCTACGTGATGTGACGGCTCGTTCCATGACACATTCTGTCCTTAGTGCTCTAACAGAATGAATATTGTTGTTTTTCATGGAACTCTGTTTAAGCTCACATCTGTCTGCATGCTTCACAGTGTGAGATGTTATCAGTCACAAGTTGTGTCTGTGATTTTGGTTCTATTGTCACTAATCAGTTCATGACTATTGTTACCAATCAGTTCATTTGATCAATAATCAGTTCATTGATATTAATCTGTTTATACTGTTAGGCCATGAACCAGTTGGTTCATGCCCCCCCCCCCCCCCCGCTTCTTTTCAACATCCTCTCCCCGTTGAAAGTTTTCCGGGGCGTTCATGTTTTGTCAGAACGCAGTTACACAACATGCGTCTGTGCATGGCACATAATTACGCAATGCGTAGTTATGCACATGGGGAGCTGAGTGGCAAGACGTTTTTTGGGCAAGCTTCCGCTTCTTACTGTGTTTGAATGGACCCAGTGAGGCGAGGACCACATCCGCTTCGCCCTTAACCCATCAGCGACAGCCTTAAAGGGCGAAGCCTATACGACATAGAACGTTGGTTACGTACTGTAACCCCAGATTCTATGAGTATAGGCGTAGCCCTTTAAGCGTCGGGCCTCACTGGCTCCTGAATAGCTGAAGAAAAAATAAGCTATTTGGGAGCCGATTACCCGCTCTTAATGTAACTTATACGGATCGGGTGGGGCCCACACAGCAGGTGGGCGTGGACTAATTTTTTCAGTATGATGCTTGCGCATAACGGGATAAACCCATCAGCGACAGCCTTAAAGGGCTACGCCTATACTCATAGAATCTGGGGTTACAGTACGTACCCAACGTTTACATTTTCAGTTGGTGAAGTTTGCATTCACAATGCACTGAGTCAATTAAGCCAACCTGCACCCCCCCCCCCCGCCTCTGGTGGCGCACGCGCGGGTCTGTACGTCATTCTTTTGTTCCCTATGGTCAGTCATAGGAAGGATCGAGACATGAGGGAGGGTTGTATGTGTGTTCTTCTGGCTAATCCATGGACAAGTCCATGGCTTCCCACCGAGGCAGAGCAGTTTAAAATCCTATTCATCCAGAGGGCCTGCGAGGGTCACATGTTGACTCTGGTCCAAGTCAAGTAGGTGGAAATGGACCTTGGACCTCCCAGAACTGGCTTGATCAATGACAAGATAAATTACTGTTTGTTTTGATTAATAGTGGATATTGATCAAAGAGGTCTGAGGTCATGGCTTTCTAACAATCACCATGAAAACAAAAGAACTCTCCCTGTTAACAGACATTAACACCACATTAACACTGGTGGTAGAGGCAGACAGTGAGTTGTGTACACAGGCAGCATTGTTAGCTGGAGGTCACTGACCCTTCGTCCTGTAGATTTTAGCTACCATTATGCGCCTTTTAGCTGATATTCTTTTAAATTAGAATCTCTTTTGATACTTTTAGGTAAAGTTTTGCTCATATTAGCATCTGTTTTACTGCGTTTAGCTTCTTGCTAATATACCACTGTTTTGAAAATGTGTTCTGCTCATTTCAGCTTGTGTTTAGTTTTTTGCCACTTTTTCCTGCTAATTTCAGCTGTTATTCAGCTCTTAGCACTCACTATGCTTTTTACAGAAAATGCTAATTTTACATGTTTAATAATGGTACTATAAAAAAGTCAGAAAAATATATTAAACCAGCTAAAAGAACTCTGTGGAATAGCTTGAACGGACATAAAAATAATTAAAACGTGATATATATTTTTTTTGTAGTACTTAGTAGTGATGTTGATAATGTGTAAGAACATTTTTCTCCAACAGATAATGAGTGAAATAATAGTGATGCTGGTACCTGATCCTTAGAGAAAGCCAGAACGTAGGCCAGTTTCTTCCCCCAGCCAACCTCGTACAGCAGAGGTTTATCACACACATTCTCACACGAGTCGCAGTGCAGCCAGCGGCGCTGCGACACCGAGAAAATCTCTGTCCACACATGGTCTGAAACCACACACACACAGAGTTACAGATCCGATTACAAAACAAGGACATCAACATGTTACAGATGGAGCAGAAACCGTTTCACTCACAGAAACCTAAAGTAAATGAGAGAAACAGTGTATGTAGGAGAGGTAGACAGCTGCAGTGCACAGATGAGACGAGGCTGAGACAGAGGACAAAAACAAAGACTGACAGCTGGTTCAGGGACATACCTGTGCTGTCCCAGATGTACCTGGCCTCCAGGCCCACAGCTATGCAGCACAGTGTAAAACAGTTGGCCCATTCTCCACAGCGCCCCCTCCTGGTTTCCAGAAGCTTCTCTGGATGATTGTACCTGGTGTTGACAGGAAAGACATCCCCATCATTTTATAACTAAATAATAATAATAATGATGATGATCAGATGTACAGAAGTGTCTAAAGATTAAATATGCATTCTTTAATGAAAAGCTAGTCCTCGTTCCCACACCTGCTCTGATCTAAGCTGAAAGTTGGTTTGAAATGTCTGATCAAAGTGACACACACACACACACACACAAACAAACACACACACACCTAGGAAACCTGGTGGAGAGCTGACAGCTCCCACAGAAGTGGTTCTCCACCCTCTGAGCTCCCCAGCGGAGGTCTTCAGCAGTGGGACTGAGGGAGCTGCCATGCTGCGTGGGACCTCCACACTGGCTGCAGGGCAAACAGTCCACCCAGGAGAAGTTCTGTTTAAACCACCTGAGTAATTCCAGAACCAGGAAGTCTTCCAGTCCTAGTTTACATCCTACAAACACACAAAGGAAGTCGAAGTAAAAAGGTGAGAAACCCCTCCTGTCAGTGTCACACTGAACTGCATAACTGAAAGTAAAGTGATGTAATCACACCGTGTCTCTGACGCTACGTCACATTACATCATGTCTGAGGGCCCAGATCTCACCACTGTTAGTCTGCCATCATGTTTGACCTCAAACATAAAGTGTTTTATCAGAAGCTCTGCTTTATGTTATCAGATTACAGGATAAAACGAGTTTCTCTTCTGTTTGTTTGGGAGCCAGCTGGAAACCAACAGCAGGCTGGTGTCATGTTCACCAGTTAAACCCTGATGAGCTGTTCTGCTCACACTGAAGCTCAGTATTATGGCTGGCTTTACTCTGACACCGATCGTTGGACCTGTGCCTTCATTTCTTCACTACAATGGGTCTGTTTTTACAAACCGGATTCCAAAAAAGTTGGGACACTAAACAAATTGTGAATAAAAACTGAATGCAATGATGTGGAGATGGCAAATGTCAATATTTTATTTGTAATATAATATAGATGACAGATCAAAAGTTTAATCTGAGTAAATGTAACATTTTAAAGGAAAAATATGTTGATTCAAAATTTTAGTGTCAACAAATCCCAAAAAAGTTGGGACAAGTAGCAATAAGTGGCTGGAAAAAGGAAATTGAGCATATAATGAACAGCTGGAAGACCAATTAACACTAATTAGGTCAATTGACAACATGATTGGGTATAAAAAGAGCTTCTCAGAGTGTCAGTGTCTCTCAGAAGCCAAGATGGTAAGTGGATCACCAATTCCACCATTGTTGCGCAGAAAGATAGTGCAACAATACCAGAATGGTGTTACCCAATGTAAAATAGCAAAGAATTTTAAGTTATCAGAGAATCTGGAACAATAGCTGTGCGTAAGGGTCAAGGCTGTAAAACTCTACTGGATGCTTGTGATCTCCGGGCCCTTAAACGTCACTGCACCTCAAACAGGAATGCCACTGTCAAGGAAATAACAGAATGGGCTCAGGAATATTTCCAGAAAGCATTGCCAGTGAACACAATCCACCGTGCCATCCGCCGTTGCCAGCTGAAACTCTACAGTGCAAAGAGGAAGCTATTTCTAAGCAAGCTCCACAAGCTCAGACATTTGCACTGGGCTAGAGTGTGGCAAAATGGAAGACTGTTCTGTGGTCAGATGAGTCACAATTTGAAGTTCTTTATGGAACACTGGGACGCCATGTCATCTGGACCAGAGCCCTATAAAGAGAGAGTTGCAACACTCCCATAGACTCCAATAGAAAGAATGGAATGCGGAAGTCACGTGGGTCATGCAGCGGCAAAAAGTTCCAAACAGCAGCGGTTCCAGCATTGAACGTAGTTCATTCTCCGTGTTTCAGACGCATTTTCTCCGGTAAGTTGATGACAATACAACATTTTTTTGCCATTGTGAAGTGTTTGCTGACTGTTCTGTACCAGTTTATCAACATTAATACTTCATGTCACCCGTTTTAGTTAATTAAACATGTTTACTTGCTAGTTGTGTTTTAACTGCAGCTAGCTCTAACATAACGGGTTTAAACGGGTCTATTTCTGTCTAATTCAGCGTTGTACAATATCCATTACAGCTTAAATTTTGAAAGTTGATAATTTTCTAAATTTTGTGTTAATACCAGTTACTGAATGAACTCAACTAGAAAATATTTAGCCATTTTTCAGCGAGATTGATGTTGTTAATTTAGTTCAAGTTATAGATCCTTTCTCAAAGACTGCAGGATAAATTGTGACATTATCATTAAAGAAACACGTGATGGTGGAGGTAAATTTTTTTTTTCATGTTTTCCAGGTAAACCACAGGAGAATTACTTCAGTGAACTGCTGAATGTTGCATTCAAAGTATCACAAGATCTCATTTTCTGTCTTCCCAAAACAATAATAGCTTAATCATTATGTTTGAATAAAATTACTTTAACATATATTTACATTTAACAATATTTTAAACATTCATGTCCATCATGTTTTCAGCCGGCCTTTGTGGTGAGCTAAGAAATTACCAGGTTTGTGGAA